ACATAGTAGTCTTGCTGAGCTTGAACGTCGTATCGTTGATTTTCAATAGTCCCGGAATTTTTGCCCACTAGGCTGCTGGAAATGTACCAAGTCAATGGTCTTATGCTCAAAATTAACACGACTACTATAGCAAAGGACACAAGATTGGGTGTGTTCCACAAAGTCTCCACGTCGCGCTGATTAAGTTGCGAAAACGAAGTTAAACCAACACTATACAGCTCAAGAAGACTGCGGCCAAACATGAGTCACTCCTTTCATTTCTCTTTTTTGGGACTATAACTTCTGTAATTCTTGGTCTATTTTGCTTATTTATGTTCGGCTTGGTGATTGGTCTCTTGGACCTATACACGAGGTTTTCATATTTTATTACCCGTTACTTACTAAATAATCGTTGTAATAAGTATCGGCTTGAGAATCTTCCTTCGCTTCCAATACCACTTTTCGTAACTTCATTATATTATAATTGTCTATTTTCTTTTTCTTTTTTTGCAACTCTGACCAGATGGGTCCACACAGTGCACCCGCATCCGACCTACATTCTCTTACATCATCTGCATTTTGCCTGCCATTCGGCCAGCCAGGCATTTTGCCCTCTACTGCCTTCCAAGCCCCTTCTCAGCAGCAACAACCGCAAGGAGCTCATCATGATACCCTCTCTTTCTCGGGTCACTGTAGCCCGGCAACTGCCGGTCCCGGCACCGCCAGTCTCGTCAGTAGTGTAACCGGCCAACAACAACAGTTGCTTCTTATGGGAGGAGCCAACAGTGTTGGCAGCGTCGCGGCGGTTGGCCAGTCTCCAGGGTCACCGCTCAAGGAGACCACCAGCGATATGGCGTCAGTAGTGCGAAGCATGATCCGCTCTGACTCAGGCTTGGAGATACATGATCGAACCTGGCTTAAGATCACCATTCCAAATGCGTTTATAGGTAGGCCCTTTTCTGAAAACCAACGAATTTAATGTCACTTTTGTTGAAATTCTATTTTCTGCACAATACATCAGCATTTTAATCATTTTCGTCCTGAACCCGATCCGCTTACTAACCTTCCTGTAATTTTCAGGATTTATTACATTGTGGATTGTAGACTGCCTATTCTGCCGAACGATATACCC